AAAAGATTTAATATCATGTCACAAGTTTAGAAAAGTGGATGGTTCTTAGAATTTATTCTCCAAAGAACTGGAAAATGAAATAGACCTGGAAAATATTAGTAATATTTCAATAAAAAACGAATATAGACAAATCACATTCATTAAAGGTTTACAGGTGAAAATAAATTTCAGAAAATGTTATCTTGGCGCTAAAAGTGAAATATAAACCATAGAAAAATATACCAAGCCAGGTGAATTTTAAGAGGAAGATCAAAATGACACAAAATTAGCAATATTATATTGGCTGATTTTTACCATTTAGCTTTTCCTAATAAAATTCACCTGGCTTGGTATATTTTTCTTAAGTTTATTTTACACTTTTAGCACCATGTTAACATATTCTGAAATTTTTTTTTTACCTGTAAACGTTTACTGAATGTGATTTGTCTATATTTGTTTTTTCATTGAAATATTACTAATATTTTCCAAGTCTTTTTCATATTCCAGTTCTTAGGAGAAAAAATTCTAAAAACCATCCACATTTCTCAACTTGTGACATGATATTATGGTTTTTGGGGGGTTGCTTACTTGGGCGGTCATCTGTTTACCAAGTAGGTGCAGAATTAAGAAAAAGGCAACAAGACTGTTAACATTATCAATCACTTAACGGTAACATCACATTTTCAAAAAAAAAAAAACGCTAATGTATTAATAGATTGATTTTAATAGGTGTGCAATGTTCGCATTTTATTTAAACGATATTTTGAGCAAGATTAATTCAATATTAGAATGCGTTTTAATAAATTTCCTTAAAAAAAAAAGAGAGCCTATGTAAAGACGAATAATGACTCGAATAGTGAACGGCTGGTCATATTTCACCGACAGAAAATGACCCCCACCCATAGAAAAAATTCATCTTTTGTAGTAAAAAGAACACCAGGGGTAATTATTTTATGTGTAGATCCAATAAAAATTTGGCCCCGTTGTAATATGAACTCTTTTAGAGTTATCTAGAATTCCAACGATTAAATTTATGAAAAGAATCAGATCGACCACATCGATAATTCATTTTAGGATTTTAAAATGCTAATGGGCAATGGCTCATTTGATAGTCGTGCAACCTGCATTAGACTTTGATAGAGCCCGACATGTCCGCATTAGCCAAAAGGAGGGAAAAGATTCCCAATACCAGCATTGGCCCTTCTCTAGTTGTGCAATACCTGCATTGGCCAACAAACTACAAACCTGTATTAAGAAATTGTTATGACATTCTTGCATTTGCTCAATAAAAAAAATCGTCAAAGCTTTTCATGTTTATTCACTTTCCTCGGCTTAAATAAATATTTTTAATATATATTTTTTTACTAAAATTATATTTACTTTTATATTTTGCAAACTTTATTTTGCATATGTAATTTAAAAAAAAAAACACAAATCAGAATGAGAAAAATTGCGTGCAATGAATGGTCATCATGTTATTGTTTCCCTGACTACTTACCTGGTATATAATATGATTTTGGAAATAAGTGAATAAAACCCTAACCTTTGTTTTGATCTACTTTAGATGTCATAAAAAACTTCATTTGTAAATCGATTTAATTATTTTCACAATGGTAAAAGAAGTCTTTATTTTTTTGTTGTTGTTGCCAGAAGTCCAATCAAAAATTAAAATAATTTAGATAAATTTAAATATCCCACTAGTATTCTAAACTCATATCAAAAAATATTATTAAATGATAACATGGATATGTAAACTCTTTATACAACATATTGTCATAGATACAAAACATTTTGTTTAATGAACCATAGAGCATTATGCATCTTACAAATAAAAATCACAGAAAATATTTTACGAAATTCCAACAGAATGGAAAACTTCCTAGCCCTCTTTTGGTCTCTGTGTCTCTGTGTCTGGCAATATGCCTGCTTTGCTTACAGGGAGAGAAAAGTGTCCAACACCTGCATTGGCCCTTTGACAGTCGTGCATCGGCCAACATCTTAGACAGTGTCTTAAGGAATTGTCATGTAATTCTTGTATTTGCTGAATGATAAAAGTCGTCACTGCATTGATAGCTTTTTTTTTCAATTTTCTTGTTCTATCAAAATATATTTTGTATTCTTTAAAAGCCAAGTTACACTACTAAATTACATTTAGCACAATATTGACTGCCTGTGTGATTAAAATACAACACAAACCAGAATGAGAAAAAATGACAGATATTGAATGGACAGAACGTTATCCCTTCTGTGAATACTTATATATAATTTTGGAAATAACACTGCATGAAAATTCGGCTTTACAAAACAAGTAAAGATAATGTAAATTTATTATTTACAATGCCTTTAATTGGCTTTTTCTGAAAAAGTCAAAGTTGGAAAAGGTAATCTTTACATTAACTTTACATGCACTTAAATATGATGTAATGTCCCACATTGTCTTGACTTTACAAAAGAGTAAAGTTAATATTTACAACCATTAAACACCATATTTAGGATATATTAAATCCGATAATTACAGATCTTAAATTTAATGAAATACCATCTTAAATTACCATAAAAGTTAATAATTTCTGTTTTCCATTCTAGTGAATAAAGCCTTATGCAATTTATAAATAAGATTTTTCTTCCAAGTCGATACTGCGGAAGTCTGGACATCATAATTAATATATACAAAGTAACAAAAAGTTAACTTTAACTTTGTTTATTACAATTTTTTTTTACAAACATAAGATCAAAAACATCAAGATTCTTGACAGTATATGTTGCCCACATCCTATCCTGCAAATCACATACACATAAATAAGTATCGAAGACAGAGTACATTTCACGAAAATGTTTTTCGTACGTGACATGTTTTATAATAAAACCAACTGTAAATTCTTGAATTTAAAGTTGTGAATCAACATAAAACTACTATATGTTCCTCTTTCTTGTGGATATTGGTTTCAGTGGAAATCAATAACTGTCAAAATGTATTTGTCACATCTCCCTTTTCAGAGTCCAAAACTTTTCTTCCCATGCAGGCATTCTTCTAATGCTTTTCCTAAAAGAAAAAAAATCTATAAGTATATTTTCAGTGCTATGCATAAGTATGAATATTTTCAAAGGCATCTGTTATCAGAATTCACAATATCATGATTAATAAAACTAAAAACAATGCACAACCTAATTAATAAATAAAAAGTTCATACATGACCTTTAACCTTAAAAATAAAAATTGTATTAATTTAATAAGATGAGTGGACCTCTTATTATTGACATATTATATGAAGAATCAATGGGTTAGGTCATGTATCCCTTATCACAAAAAGCCTAATGCCTAAAATTACAATTTGAGAATTATGTACTTTTTAAGGGATCTTATCACAATCAAAGAATAAATCCCTGAAACATAAAGAAATGATAGGTTTTCCTGACTACTCAGTAGTCAGTTTACAAAAAGAACAAAATAGTGCTACATATTTAGCTTAGCTGTACATGTGTACAGAATTATACTCAAGTTATGGTTTAGGATATATGTACCTTTTTCCCAAATAGCATGTTTCTGCTCATGAACTTTTTCCTGATATGGAACAGTAAAAGGACTTTAAGTGAGAGTCCCTCAAATTGAAGATGACAATCATGCTGAAATAGAATTCATACAGTGATTAACATTTTATACACCTGGACAAATATATAGTCAATCTTTTTATTAGAAATTATGAGTTTGAAGCACACGGTCACCAAAGAATGAATTGATTTTGAAAATTCATACACGATGCAATCATAGTTAATAGCTATGAACTGCCAAACACCCTTTCTTTATCAACAATACTTTAAAATTAAATCTAAACAATACTTGCCATCTATAATATGAAACTTGAGAACCCGCCTCTTCTTCATGGCAGATCTTTTAATTTTCTCATGGTAGGCTGAGTAGCTTGAGCCTATACAAAAGAAACTGAACATTTTATACGAATACATTTGACAATAATGACTCCCGAGCAAGTCAAGCACTAAATAATATAAATATTTGTTCAAGTAACATTTCACGATACTTATTGATTTTTTAAAAATGTGCTTGTACCAAAGAACTTTGGGATCCTCAATCATGTTTTGTCATCTTCCTCGCCCCGTCCTGATGTTTTCCCTTCAACAATCTGCATACTGATTTCACTCAACCTGTATTTTAACAAAATGGACACAGTTAAAATACAAAATGTTATAAATAAAATAAACTTATTTGTCAATTTCGGAGTTGAAACTCTCCGCCAAGGCATAAATACATCTGTAACTAAGTTTTATGACAACCGATTGTGTATATCAGTAATTAGCAAAAACCCGGTTTCAGTTTCAAATTCCCGGCCCGGCTCAGTTTTCAGTACTCATTTTAGTCCCACTCCAGAATTGTTTTTCTTTGTCTTGTTTAATATTCCAGAGACATACACCTTTACAGAATAAACTGAAACCCATATGCATTTAATCCCAAAATTATCAAAATACTAATCTAACATTCTGGCAGTAAATAACATATACAGCGAAGTTTTGCCTGACTTTCATTGTTTCACTACATGTATGCACAATGTACTGATCTATGCTGAAAGTGAAAACGGCTGGAATCGTAAACAAACCTGCAGTGCATGCCAATCCGGGAGTTCGAGCAGTTGTCAAGATAAGAATCTCCTTAAATCTAGATGAGGTTTCAAAAAATTACCACAGGTTGCAAACTTCGTCAAAATAGCGATGCAGACCCGCTCCACTTGATTTGAAATGATTGGCTATTAAACCGAATACACAGTGCCATATTTGGGTTACTTATCAGAGTAGATCGTTCGTTTTAAATTCGAGAAGAGTTTACATATTACTTGAATGAAGAGGATAACATAATACTGAGCTGAAAATTGTGTGTAAAGTATGTTTTAGTAGTTTACAATACAGACTGTAAATGTGCGGGAGATTTTACTGATATTGAAGCTTGTAAACAAAACCAAAAACGTAGGACTTATTCACGGCAATGTATGGGAACCAGTCCAAAAGGCAAAGAAAATTCCGCCAAGTAAACAACAAAGAAAGGGATTTGGGATGTTGTCAGTTGTATGTATACATTATGTGCGACGTTGACTGCAAGGTAATACATGTGTCTTATTTGTTGCGAATAATTCGTTTCATTTTATTATGGAAATTTATCCGTCCCAACACTGGCAGAAATATAATTATAATCTGACTTCAAAATTCCTTCCTCTGTTCCCCCAAGTACATGTAACACTCTTCGCTCTCATTTTTTTAAATTTTCATTGTATATTTTTTGTAGAAAAAAGGAATGTGGAGCTAATGCATGCTGCTAAGGATGAAAAGGTCTTGTGTTTATTGGTTGTGCCTAAGTCACCAGTCACAGGTGTACCTTATTTCTGGTAATGTTAGCTGCAGATCTGTAGCTCTTTTGTGCGCAATAAATATACAGTTTTTTCAATGGGTGGCTTTCTAGCTCTCCGGTCTATCAATAATTTTTTTTTTTCGGGGAGCTACAGACCTGCAGCTAAGATAATGTCTTTTGAGGTTTTTTTAAGTAGAGGGAACAATGCATTTTTCATTCAATATAAATGTAAAATTCTAGAGATGATTTTTTTTTAACCATTGCTGGATACTCACTACATGATTTTATCTAAAGAAAAGTATTTAAATTATTTTCTCACATTTTTTAAAGAGTCCGGGTATGGTGAAGAGATAATTCATTTTTTATTCAAAAATGTATTTTCCATGCATTTGTACAGGGAGTCTATATACATTTGAGGTGAGCGGCAGATTTAATTTTGAAGATGGGTGACTTTCAGATGTTGTGATGAAGATTGTTGAAAGGGATTATCAGCATAGAACCAATCCATATGAATGTGCAAGTCAGGTGAGGATTGGGCCTAAAAAAAGATTGTGTTTGTTTCCTGTGACCCGACCGACCCATTCAAATTATCCCTGGGTGGATTTTTTTTCCCTGACAAATGGCAAAACTTTGTTTGATCAATCAGCTGATTCCATTTATTAAATTAAAACAATAGCTTGTAGCTTAATTTGAGACATAAAATATGTCAACCTAGTTTACATTTACCTTAAATATAAAAAGTAATCATTATTGTAACAACAGTTTCCCCCTACAACTTTCTGAAGTTTGTTTTCTGCCGCTAGGCAGCCATTTTGGATGCCATGTTGGGTGTCCACTGTAAATATAACACCTGGTATTTTCAGTCTGGGGATGTTTCATCATTCATAAGCAGAAAAAAAAAATTCCTACCTACCGACCCTTGATTTTTTTGGAATGTTACAGGAAACAAACTTATCTTTTTTTAAAGCCTTAGACTTCAACATGTAATCAAGAAATGTTTATATATTGCTTAGCTTAGTGAAAGCACGCCACAAACATTTTAAGTATCTCAGTAAGTTTCATGGATATTACAGATGTATCACTATCATATGTTTGACATTGAGCATGTTGAGTCGCATTGTCTAAATTTCCATTATGTTTAGTTATACATGTTTTAAGTTACTTAAGTATGTCTTCAAAAGCTTGTGCTTTAATTTCAATAGAAGTAATGAAAACCTCTTTAAAAATTGTATTGTTTTTCTTTATAATTTTGAAAATGATTATCATTAGGACTTGTACAACACCTGAGTACCTAGATGACTGTTGAACTAATTGGTGAACAAGAAAAGATGTCAGAGAGGGGAATCCAATACAGATGTCATGATCAAGAATATATACTCTTATCAATGATATGATCAAGAATATGTAAATTTGTAACGATTTAAAATGTCTTATCTGTAAATTACTCTTCATTACTTAATTGTTCATACATTATCATCTACACTTATGCTATAAATCTTATCTGTATATTAATCGCCCCCTCTTATCTAACCCCCTGCTGATTGTAATGACCTGTGTATTGACTCCTGATCTTAAGGATCTTGTAATGTGCTCCTGATAGTCAGGAACGGATCTTGAGTATATATATAGTGCGACAGAATTTTAGAATAAGATAGAAAATGAAAATATAGAAGACTTAGTAGATAGAACTGTTAGAGATAGATAAAGTTACTCACTTACTTGGACTATTACCTAATATTTCTTGGATTTATATGTACATGTGATTGTTTTACTTGGATTTTATTTTTTGTGAATTATTTTTCCTGAATGTTTCTATTTATGATGTGCTCTGTAAGTAAACTGTAGACTAGAATTTCGGCATCTATTTTCAAGATCTGAGGAACAAGGATAAATTAATTTATTTATGCAAACTGACATTATGAAATGTGTTGTAAGACCGCTCGGTGCGGCGCTACAAACTAACTAGGAAATATCTTGGAGATTTATAGTTGAACATGCAAGCATTCATGATTTTGAATGTTATTCAGCCAGAGATATTTTGTACAAATTTAATTTTCAGTACAGTAATTTAAACTGGATGTGTAATTTTCAGTACAGTTATGTAAAATGAATATGTTACTTATTATGATTGTCAATTTCTCAACAGGACATAATTGTAGTTTCTTTATACGATCACTCTTGCAGAACAAAACACACAGAACTTTTTTTCTCTGTGTGCATCATACACTTGTAAACGTTTTACAATACCATGTTTACATATTTTACATTGATGACATGTAAATCGAGCACACACATGAAAATGCGTATATCTGGATACATGCAAACATGCATCTACCATAACCTATTACATATTTTCCAAGGTGTGTGAAGACGAACACATACATGAAAATGTGTAAAGCTGGACACATACACAAATACACATGCATCTGCCACAACCTATTACATATTTTCCTAGGCGTGTGAAGTCGAGCACATACATGAAAATGTGTGAAGCTGGACACATATGCAAACACACTAACATATACCACAGACATAAAAACATAATCTAAACTAAGTCAAGCACAGACAGGCTCACTGGGTGAAGCTGGACTCATACATGATCTCATGCATTTTGCAAACTGCATCCTCGCATATATTCTAATAGATTTTTCACCATTTTTTGTGTTTGTGAATATTTAAAATGCATCATTCTGCATTACAAGTTGAAGATGTTATTAGCCTGTATATAAGCGCAAATCAAATAGCCTTTTATGTAATTTTTTTCACATTTTTAATTCAATTTAAACTGCAAAGTTTATTTTATATATGTACATGCACCATAAAGAATATTCCAAGGATTTACAATATTGCTGCACAAATGTCGACACTGCAATTGTTTAGTTACTATCCGTGCAGTTTCAAGTTTAAACAGGGTAAAAATTCACAGTCCAGTGTAAGTTTCCTAAAATTTTTACCGATTTAGAAAATCAATAGGATTTGTGCAGCAATTTTATTAATTTTAATAATATTCTCCTTGATATTATACAATGATTATTTTAAATTGGATTTGACATGCCCTTGCGCCGTCGTGATTATTATCTTGAATGGGAGAAAACAATGACGTCATAATATGACATCATAATGTGCACTTGCATTAATAAACTGTGGGTACTAAGTGTGTATAAGAAAATCAATTTGAACTTTCTCTGTACATAAAATATACAACTTATGAATTTTTATCAGCTCATTTGCATAGAAATATCCACATTTAGCCTTAACTCACTTGCGTAACATGATTTTATCCTTCTTGATAGATAACAGATTTTTTCAAAGGTAGTGTTCCATAAATAAATGATACAGTCAAACAGAACGGGATCTCATTTGTATGATAATTAAACTAAATGTTTTTAAGACTCGTGGCAAAAATATTTCCCAACTCTGAACCCATTTAAATTCATCTGAATTATTCATGAGAAGCCCACTCAAAATTCTCGATAGGAAGGAAAAGGATATGTAATATTTTAGTTGCATTTAATTTTTATCTCTTGTATTGCATATTAATGAAATTTTGCATGTACTCCCTTCTTACAATAAGATAAAATCAAATTGAATTGGATTAAAAACATTAATTGAAAAGTGCTGTAACCCTTCAGTGTGTATAAAACACGTCATCTTAGAAACACTATATAACAATGGGTAAACAGTCACGATAAGGAAAAAGCAGTGCAAATTACCCAAACTTTTCATTTCAATGCATTCTAAATATATCCCAAATATTAAAAATATAAAGTAATATAAGGGTAACGTGTCAATTTGTTATCCCTAAAAAAGCTTCATAACCTGGACTCTGTCTCTTTCAACAATTGTTTTGAAGGTTAATGTAGCATATCAGAAGTTTGATAACATATTTTAAATATTATGTTTTTAATTCCATGCTCTTATGAATATAAAATATAGGTGGGTATATAAAAGTTTTACAGATAAATGACATGTGGTTTTAGTGTTTGTGTTAATTTATATTACACTTTTGTTGATATATTATTTTCCCGACAAACCATTGTTCAGGGATTAGTGTAAACTTCTCACATCAATTCATACTTAAGAAATATTTTTTTTTCTAAATTTCTCTCGGATGCTGGTCACTCTTGTCCCGTGCTGTTGTACAGTTTTTTTTATATCTATCTTCAAAATTTATGCTTTGTTTCAGGACGAGATTTATAGATTTCCACTTCCAGTAGTTAAACTTCCGTTCATATCTCTATGTCTTTAGTAAATTTCCAGGTCTTTTTTACTGGAAACTTTATTCCCATTATTTTGGAAAGTTGGTTGTAAAATGTATACATAAATTGTAACTGTAATTGTAAATATAATGATTCTATGTCTAATTTCTATACTTGAAAAGGTTCAATGGAAATCACTCACTACTCAGGTATGTTAAGGACCGATATATAGAAAATGTGACCTTTGCACCGTTGAAGAGTGCAAATTACCAAAACTTTTCATTTCAATGCATTCTAAATATATTCCAAATATTAAAAATATAAAGTAATATAAGGGTAACGTGTCAATTTGTTATCTCTGAAAAAGCTTTATAACCTGGACTCTGTCTCTTTCAACAATTGTCTCGCAGGTTAATGTAGCATATCAGAATTTTGTTAACATAACTTAAATATTATGTTTTTAATTCCATGCTCTTATGAATATAAAATATAGGTGGGTATATAAAAGTTTTACAGATAAATGACATGTGGTTTTAGTGTTTGTGTTAATTTATATTACACTTTTGTTGAAATATTATTTTCCCGACAAACCATTGTTCAGGGATTAATGTAAACTTCTCACATCAATTCATACTTAAGAAATATTTTTTTTTCTAAATTTCTCTCGGATGCTGGTTACTCTTGTCCCGTGCTGTTGTACAGTTTTTTAATATCTATCTTCAAAATTTATGCTTTGTTTCAGGAGGAGATTTATAGATTTCTACTTCCAGTAGTTAAACGTCCGTTTAATCTTTATGGCTTTAGTATATTTCCAGGTCTTTTTTACTGGAAACTTTATTCGCATTATTTCTTGGAAATTGGTTGTAAAATGTATACATAAATTGTAACTGTAATTGTAAATATAATGATTCTATGTCTAAATTTCCATATTTGAATAGGTTCAATGAAAATCACTACTCAGGTATGTTAAGGACCGATATATAGAAAATGTTACCTTTGCACCGTTTAATATGTATTACTTTCTTTATAAAATTGTCATAAAGCAACTGAATACTTAGAAAATGTTATATAGCTATCAATAATGCATAGGACTTGGCCGTAGAATTACCAATTGTATCGCAGGTATCAGCCGTTTTTCAGGTGACTTGTATAAAAATAGAATTGTTAAGCTGAATGTGGGAAATGGGGATAGTGCAAGGGCATAAGCTTGTTTTTCAAGAAAAAATTGATACACATTAAAAGATGTTTATTTCCTCCACCTAAAAAGTGCTGGGAGCTAGTCAGTGCTTTTTGTGAAGTACTGAAAACTTTGCCGAAAATTTTTATATTAGCTAAAAATTTCTACTTCGCTTAGATGCAGTTATAAATAAATATAATGTTATGCAGACCACGCAGTACGGTTAAGGCAACCCATGGAAAAAATATGGTAATGAGGTCATAATGAGGTTTTACGTCATGTCAGTTGCTCCGTCCTGATTGATCCTTATAAGGAAATAGAGCTCAAAATAACTATTTACCGATATTTGCAAGAATTTGTAACAAACGGCAATATTCCCATGTTTGAATAAATAGTTATTAGTGATTTTCTCCAACATAGAATAGCACATTTTTTAAAATAATTCTCTTTCTTATGTACCGTTTGGCTGCATTCGGCTTCACCCAAGCGCTTGCACTCGATGACACGGAATGTTGTTTACATCTAAAAACGCGGCGACATCAGCTGAGATATGCAGCTGATTTAAATCCAATAACCAGACATTCTTTAAAGAAAATAGGGATAATATAAGAGACAAGGCATTGTTTATCCCTATTACGAGAATATGAGGACATTATCACAGAAAATAATGGAAGACTGAGACGATCTGCACTAGCTCCCTAGATCCATCACTGCAGTGCATTCAGCCCAGGTATGTATGCACATGTATGTACAATATGTAGATATGATTTTGTTAACATCGAAGAAAAAAAACGATCGCGAGTGTGTACGTGTTTATTTAGATGTATTACAGTCAGTGAAAAACTAATGCAGTGCAGTGTGTGTCGCCCCCCCCCCCCCCCACCCTTCCCAACAGCCCACATAAAGTTGATCACTTTTTTACAAGAAATTTTAAAATTGTAATTGTACTAAATATAGAGTCGATTAGCTTATTTTCTTTGAGACAACATGTGTAATAAGGGGGTTCAACAGTAATACAAACTTAAACTAAATTAAATTTGAAATTTCATTGTTGCAGTCAATGAGTTGACAATGATTTACTGAACATGTAATGTTGCTGTCTTTTTGGCATACAAACATGCTACATAATGTAAAAAAAAATATCTGTATTTATATGTTGAAAACAAAGAACCTCCACTTTAGATCTATGGTTTTAAATTTGTAGAATTTCTAAATTAATTGGGAATAAAATATTTATTTTTTTTAGCTTGATTTCATGTCAAGTCAATTATTTTTTGTAATTCATACATAATTTTTTTAATTATATGATATATAATACTTTTATTATTGTAGCAGTCAAGAGTTCCAGGCTTGAAGAATAAATAAATACAAAATACATCCATTTCTCCACAGGGTATGTACACTTATTAAGCATTTCACATTTTATTTTTATTTTTCATTTTGGTAAAGATGAAAGAATGTTTTTTTCATATTCTATTTATTTGTTCTTGTAAATGTCAGAGGTTTTAATTTCCCAGAAAAGTTTTGTAACACAATTTTGTTTCCATTTATCTTTTAATATGAATTTCATAAATTCACTACAGTATACAGTATATCATGAATTGTTTTGTCAAATGTAATGTAATTTTATTATACAAT